TCAGCTACCTTTTCAGCAAGGTTTGCCAAACATAGCTTATACATATTTCTATGTTTTTGATCGGTATGAATAAGGTTCTAAACTATCTTAATTATTTTTTCAATAATAATAATAATAATAATAATAATAATAATAATAATAATAATAATAATTGTTTCATATAAACTAAAAGTTTAAACTAATAATAAGATTATATATTTATTATTTTATGTATATTATTCTCAACAACTATTATACATATTTCTATGTTTTTTATCTGCATGAATAAGGTTCTAAACTATTTTAATTATTTTTTCAATGAGATATAGTATCGAGTTTGCTTAAACCAAGAATGATGTAAGCGCCTAAATAATTATGTTGAATTAAATTAAGAAAAGTGTGTTAATAATTTTATAATTAAGCAACCTAAGTCAAATAAATTTCATATTTCATTCTCATTTGTTCAATTATATATATCCCCTAAAAAAGAGTACATCTACAAGAATTAAAATAATCAATATTCTCTTTATCTCATTTTATCTGTTATGTTATATAATTTTTTTTGTTCATTTTTTTAATGTTTTCTTATAAATTTTAAATTTAACTTTGTGTGTTTAATATTACTTTAATATAGTTTATACATATAAAAAATTTATATACTAATACTAAGCTAAATATTAAAAAATAAATTGTAAATAACTTGAATCAAACTTCGTTAATTAAATTAGGCAAATAAAATATGACGGAGAGAATAATAGTTTATAAATAGAAATCTTTAAATTATTGGTATAATATATTGGGTTTTGGTTTAATTTATTTTGTACTTATCATTTTGTTTTACTTATGAATTATGAAGTTAGAATATGATGAATAAAGGAGGGAAATGTGTGATTGATAATGGTGGGGCAGATAATGGCAATATATGGGGATTGGAGAATGAGCTGTTTGGGTTGGGTGACAGGCAAGAATTAGTATATAACTACTTTAGTAGACCACAATTAATTAAATATATTTTTAAGAATTTTGTTGGATGGAAAGACAAGTCAAAAGTGTGATGTACATTAGTATATGATTGTGATGATTGTGCCTTGTTTTTTAATTCCTTTTCTTTGCTGGAATTTTTGGAAAACAGTAAAAACTGTAATCATATCTTTTTGCATTTAATTTAAATAACATGTGGCAAACAAAAAACTTTGACAAATTTATTTCATTTTTCCTTCCATTATAATAATATTTTCAATTTTAATTTTTAACTTTGAAAAATATGCTATTTTTATTCGTCTATTTTAATTCATTGTGCTTATGTTTCTCACATCATAGGAATTGGGAGTCCTGGGAGACTAGCAATGTGATTATAAGGCAACCTTATTTGGTTTATTATATTGACAAGAGCTCTCGATCACCATTGTACTGTATACATTCTCTCATTTTACTACTTATATTTAATTTATTATTGTATCAATTGTCAAAATATTTAACTAAAATAATATTTAAAGTGATCATTTTAAGGTATAATTTTGAGTGAGGTCCACTTCCGATTTGAGTCGAGTCAAAATGAATTCGAATTATCTTAAGTGAAATGTTTAATTTGATATGTTATACGCACAAAAATAATAATAAATAGATGAGAATTTAATTTTTAAAGTGTACCTATTTGAGTTTGGAAAAAATGGAATTGGAATTAAGTTTAAAGTGATTCACTATATTTCTTAATAGGGCATGTGGTGGTATGTTGCAAAATGTCATAGGGTACTTAATAGGGTTTTACTATATTTCTTAATTTGTTCCACAAAACCCTTTTTTTTTTTAGTATTGGCAAAATTACATTTATAGATTTTTATATTATAATTTATAAATACGTTTTTTTTAATATATAATACTAATTAATTTTCCACTTAATTATTTATTCATTTTATTAATTAATTACTTATTTAGTTATGTATCTATTTATATATTTATGTAGTGCAGTGTGTTTAGTCATTGTATTTGTCTTTTTAATGTTAATTTATAAATATATAAAAATTATTTTCAAATTATTATAATTTGATTGAATCTTATTTTAATTACAACAAAGAGAGAGAGAGAGAGAGAGAGAGAGAGAGAGAGAGAGAGAGAGAGAGAGAGATGTGGATACATTTTGAGAAGAACAATTTCAGTAAGTCAATATTATTCATTATTTGAAAAGACTTATATTTAATAAAATTTTAAATATACATTTGTCATTAATATATTTAATTTCTGATTTTATTATAATTAATTTCAAATATTCATAAATAGTTATTAGTAGTGGTGGGCATTTCGATTTTAGGTTCATTTTTTTAGGGGTTCGGTTTGCCTTCGGTTTTATCGATTTTGAAAAAAAAAAAAAACAAAACAAAAAGAAACCACTCGACTTCAAATTTTAGTTCAGTTTGGTTTTGGTTCAGTTTGAAATAGTTCAGTTTCGGATCGAATTTGATTCGGTTCGAATTTCGATTCGATTTGAAGACTCAAACATTCCCTAATTCTCTTGCGCATATAATTATTTATTTATTTTCACTAATAATTTAAATTTTAAAAATCTAAACAAGTCCATAACGAATATTTTAAATTTCTTAAACTAAAATAAGTCCAAACCGAACCAACATCTTCACCTGTGTCTAAGTCCGACAGCAACGTCATAGACTCGCAAAGTAAAATTGAGAACAAAGAACAATTGTGAAATTTTAGATTAAAAAATTAGGAATTTAGTATGTGTGTGTGTGTGGCAATTAGTTGATAGCGGATTATTGATATCTTATTATGTTAGTTGTTTTGACCATCTAGTAAACGATTCGGGTTTGGAGGAGAGCATCGGACGGTTCGGGTGCACGGGTGTCCAATTCGAACAAACTTCGGTTAGCGTATTGGAGACCCAATTCGTGTTATTTTTTAAACACGCCCGATATTTGGGTTACTTAACCCGTCAGATTTTCGTTAATATTTCGAATGTTTCAGATTTGTAAAAAGAATTAAAATTACAAAATTTAATAATTGACTGATTTTACTTTCATTCTTTCATGTTTCTACCTAACAACTACAATACATCAATTCTTTAAATATACATACAAAATAGAACATACAAATTTACAGTTTAGTAACTAAAGTATTACACCTAAAAAAAATACAAATTAACATCAAATAGAGTAATACAGTTTAATGCTACCTTGTAAAAAAAATTAAAGATTCGAAAATACCATTTCCTAAAATTGAATTTCACCGGAAAAACTCATCAGGAAGGACCAAAAGTGTCCAAAATATGATAGTATGGGGTGTTAAATGACAAAAATGATAGTTTGTGACTAAATTTGGAACTGACACCAAAGACAATGGATGTTCGCCGGAATTAACTCTTGTTTTTGTTGTTGCTGTTGCAGTTATTGTTATTTTCACCATTGTTGTTGCAATAGGACATCTATGCCTTGCTTCGTTACAGAGAAGGTGCCTTCAATCCTAAGGTTTGAAGTATGCCGGCCGAGCTGGAACACCCGGAGGCCCAGGGGCAAAGCCCGAGTACCCCACTGGAGGGGGACCACCTCAACACTGACCCTCTTTCTTTAGCTTCATAGAGCCCATCAACGAGGGATTACCCATATCACCTCCTGGTGAAGTTTCTCCTTCTTTGGAGAACCTCCACTTCCCCGAGAGCATGGATGAGCCCAATGAGGAAGCCACAGTTGCTCCCACTACTTCCAAGCTTAACACGACCGATCTCAACAAGTTTGATCTCAATGAATAGAGTTAGGTTGTAGTTTGCATATCTCCTATCTTCCTTGGTTATGTACTTGGAATTGTTTGATGCTGAATGAATGATTTAGCTTTTCTCGTGTCTTTTCCCAGCTTTCCACTTAGCCGTCTCAATGCATTTTCTGTATCTCTGGTCGAGCCCCCACTTGGTGAGGGGGGAGGGGGGGGGGGGGGGGGGGGGGCAGACGTGGCCAAACTTTGCTCGGTTGGCCGAGCCCCAGGCTAGAGCCGAGGTCCAAGCCGAGCCTTAGGCCGAGACCGAGATCGAGGTCGAGGCCTAGGTCAAAACCTCAGGCCAAGGCCTAAGTCGAGGCCTAGGTCAAGCCTGTGCTTGGTTCACCTTGTGAGGATTTTGCTTCTTGACTCAAGCCCGGGGCTTGGGCTCCATTTGGAGGTCGGACCTCTTGTCATGGACTCGTTTTTTATTTTTTTATTTTTTTGTAGGCTAGTCCTTTGGTCAAGGGTTTAGCTTGGGCCAAAACTCTTCCGTCGAGCAATAGGCGAGGGCAAATCCCGTAGTGGCCCTTAGGGCAATAGCTGTTTGACTCGAGTCATTCGACCCCGAGCCATAAGACTCTTTCATCGGGCAATACGCAAGGGTAGACCTCGTATTACCCTTAGGGCACCGCTAGAGGGGTCGGCTGGGTAACCTTAGGGTGTGCCCCCTACCTCCCTCCTTACGAGTAGTAAAAATGAGTTTCATGGCAAATTTTTACTGCTTTATTAAAGAAAAACATGTTAGCCGACGAAGTTTTTTTATTTTTATTTTTTTTTTATTTTTATTTTTTTTATAAATAATTTTAGTTTATTTTAATTATTTTAAAAAAAATTATTTTTAAAATATATTTTAAATTGGGTGATCTGTTAGAAAGGGGAAAACCTGCAAATTAGGACAAATTGCTTAAAATAGGTTAGTTTAGGGACTCAATTGTAACTTTTTTGAGTTCAGTGACCTAATTGCATTATTGTGTGTGGTTCGATGACTTATTTGACCCTTATTCCTAAGGGAAATAACTTATCCCATAAAATGCCAAACCAACCATGCAATCTTTCATTCTATTCTGAAAATGCTATTCCATTTTCATTCATTCATGTTTTTTTTTTACTGTCTGGATTGGCAAATGTTACATTTTCTTTTAGTTCTCTTCTCCCTCTCCAAGTTCTATTCCTTCCCCTTTCTAGCATCAAAGATTTCAACACCTTTCCTATCATGATTTGGTAAATATTTCAACCTCTTTCTTGATCAAACACCAGACAAGAAGCAAGTGATTTCATGAGAATGTGTGATATTTTCCATAAACAACCTGTTCTTATGTAGTGGCATACTCAGTATTGATGAATGTATGTCCCTATATTACAACAATGTAGAAAACAAAACCTGAAAACATCACATTCTTAATGATCTAAATTTGAGAGTGATGAATTGTGTTGAGGTGTATCACCGATGAAATTTCCTTCCGCATCCCATGGCCGATTTTCAAAAGACTTTCCAACCATACTTCGCTTCTCGTTTATGCCTCCATCTTCGCGTTTGTACTCTGGAAAGTAATCCAGAAAACTTTTGCTCCCTAGCTCACCAGTGCCGTTGAAGAGGAAGTTCATAGTCAGCTCCTATAGTGAACCAACAAACAACTGAGATGCCATGGCGACACCGTAAGAAAGCTTAGTCTTCGCAACAATGAATTGAACGATACCTTGGCAAGAGTCTCTCCTATCAGTCGTTTCAGAAGTCCGTGCCCAGGATCCTAATTGCACAAGTTGACAAATATTGAGGATGTAATAAAAGCTATAAAAAGCAGTTTAGAAATGTTATTGTATAATCTAAAGATCGAGCCAAGGTTACTAAACTGGGCTATAATGCACATGGCTCAAACCACACTAAAAGATTGAATCCAGTCAATTAACTAGTCTACCTTATAAACCCATATGTTCTCTCTTATATTTTCAATATGGGACTCTTAACACTCCCCCAGTGGACAACCGGGCCATTTTGAAAACAAAAGTTTTATGTTCTATAGATCCTATACAGGAGAAGAAAATATCACATTTGCTATTTTTTACATTAGTTTTATACAAAGCTGATTAGGCTTTAACGGTGCCCTCAAGTCAAACCAATATACTCTCTCCATCCCATTTTGTAAGGATAAACTGAGAAAAAGACATAGCAATGTCTATTAAGTATATGAGCAGTAGAAGATAGAAAAGGGAAAGCAAAACTTACCTTTTCTGCCCTCCATGTCAGGTACCTGTGCTGTGCTTCACGATTGCAAATGATTTGAGAAGCATCAGTGTCCTCCACTGCTGTGTCAATCAGATTTAGCCATGCCTGTAATATAACAGAATTAAAAAAAAAAAAAAAAACACAGTTACAAAATCTAAATTTCAGATTTACAAACATCCGTTTTTGAAAAAATAATGAGGTTAAAACGGACATGAAGTTAGCAAATGCTCATCTTCACCGAGATTCGAGAATAGAACCAGTTGGGCACATGAGTGAGTGTAATTACAAAGAGAACAGAATGAATGGGTGCTATAAAATAAAACCAAATTTGCGAATATTTACCTTAAAGTAATCCTTGAACGCAGAATACAAAATGCTATGGTTGTGAGGACCAGAGGAAAATTTTGTCCATAAAACTATAGGAGAGAAAAATCTTAATGACTCACTGGTAAGTTTTCCTCCCCAGGGTAAAAGCTGCACAAACTCCCCACAAAATCATCAGGGAATGATTTGAAATGGGGTCTAGGAAATGAGAACTTTGTACTGAAATTGAGATGAAGGAGTGATAATCTTTGTCACCTGAGAATACTTAAGGCCAAGAGGAAAAAGGTGCTTGTAATACTTCTCCTTGTAATCTATTTGATTGATGACATCATGCAAAGGGTTAAGATCACTGCATATGATTGAAGAAGGTTTAAGTGTACATTTTTGTGAATCAATAGCAATATTGACACAAAAGACTAACAGCAATAGCCGATGTATATCATGATGTGGCAGAGATGATGTCAGCGCCACGTAAGCTAAGTTAACAGTCATATTAACACCGTTAACTATTGCCCTTAATTGTACCATTTTTTAAAGTACATAGATTAAATTGAACAAAATTAAGGTACAAGGACTAAATTGAACAAACACTATATTAAAGGAACCTCATAGGTATTTTGAGCGCCACCAGATAGTAAATACAGAGCAACTTCGTAATGATAGAAGGATATAAACTTACAGTACGATTATGTTCATTTTGGCAGTTGTAAAAAAGTTCGCACAAAAGATAGGCAGATCATATTCGATTCTGGGGAAAACAGCAAAATCCAAGACCTGCAGTGGTGTCATATTTATCATCAATTATATAATTGAAGTCACTGAAATTTTGATATTTGTAGGTTCAATCAATTTCACAAGCCTTAGTAGAAGTTAAATTGGTTGACAAACAAATTATTATTGAGCCTTTTTCCTTTCAACATGCACATAGCCCATCACTATGGACTTGAATTTCAGAAGCTTATAAAAAGTAAGATCTATTGTTATATCAAGCTTGCTGTATGTTAAAACATGTAGACTGCATAAGTGTGTGCATACACAGAATCAACATGTATAAACAAAAATTATAACACTCAACCTGCATTCCGTCACTCCCTTCAATATAGAGACTGCGGAGGAGCCGAATCTTTGGGGCTTCAAAAGAAAGCATTTCAAAGTTTGCTTTTTCACCCATGTCCAAGTTTGAACTGAATTTCTCCTGTTTGGAGAGGAAAGGTCCTTGGTTAATCACCCAAGATAATACAAAGTGGAAAACCAATTGTATACCAACATCCATACCAAATCGGATAAAATAAGATCCAAGAAAAACTGGATTGACAGAATGAATAAAATCCCAAAGAAATCATGATTCATGACATTCATTTTTACAATAAATGATTAGTAGCAAGGTAACCAAGAAACTTGTCCAGCAACCACAGCATGTGCAGATCAATATCACTTTAGAAACTGCATGCAAAGTGTTTCATTCACATTCCAGCATACATATTGCCAAATTTGAACCAACAGTAATGGAATCAAATTAGATGATCCAAAAAAATGCTCTTTTTTTTTTTTTTTTTGTTAAAAAAATTGGTATATGCTTTTTTTCATAAATTTATGAAATAATCCACAAATCATCACATAAATGAAAAAGCACAGTATGAATTCAATAACACGGCAACAAGCAATCAAATACTCATTAGAATAATTACACTACCCAACCAAATAACAGCACATTTAAGGCATAAGCAAAGAAATACAATTTGGGTCTGGATTAGGAATCAGTACCTGCAATGGAGAAGGGGACAAATGGGTATGGAGTTTGGTTTCTTCCAAAGCATAATGAACAAAGTTTCTGTATGTAAAAGCTGCGGCTGAGGCTTTGTGACTTATACTCCTAATATTACAAGGTTTGAATCTTCTTTTTCTATGCAAAATGGCAATAAATTTGGCACTCCCTCCACCTCTTGTTAGTGGTAGATTCAGGGGCGGAATCAAGGTTGCTGACCATGAAGAAAAACATGATTCCATTGAAGAAGAAAAAGAATCCAAGAATGGAAGAGGTGATTCAGAGCTCCATTTGGATAGTGCTTTGTGCTCGACCCAATGGGGAAGGCATAGTCAGAAGAATCTCTTATCCAAAGTATCTCCACTCCACAATTTCCTTTGTTTACCGCTGTCCTTGCAAATGGATTTTTTGTTTTGCCCGCCAGGGTCACCACTTAATTACGCTTTCTAGTCTCTGGTTTCTACCTATTTCTAGCATCCAGAGAGAAAGAACCCTTTAGTCCTTAAACTTTTACTCTTGAACACATAGCCCTAAAGTTTATATTATGAGTACTGCACAGTAAAAAAGACATACAGAATCAGATTTCTTCTATGCTTTATATCACTACAGGATAACAGTCATAACACAATCTTATACCATTTGCTAAGAAAAGAGCATCCACTTGATAAAAGTTAAACCGAAGAGTGTAAGATTCTTTTAAAATATAGCCCAAAGAGAAATTGATTGTACTAGGATTCTGAAGAGTGAACAAGAAAAACAGGTCCATTCTGCTTCTCTACCTTTAAGAAACCAAACCTGTCCTCACTTGCTAACTGTTTTTGCATTACTCTGCAACTGATTCCCTTTTAGGGAAGAATAAATTATAAGTTAAAAAAGTATACCTTGAAGATGCTTCTGCCTCATGGATTTAAAGATCCTAACAACCCTGTCATTATTTTTCAATAATAAGTTGCACCAAATAGGCACTTAATGGATAAATGCAAGAAATTTGTCATTTCTGGGAAATAAAAACACTGAAAAGATACTACATTTTTCTTTCGGGAAACAAAAAAGAATGCTCCCTTCGTTCTAAAAGCCATACGTTTCAATATTCACCAGAAAGAAGAGCATTACGCATATAGAAAGAGATGAGGGAGAAAGCATACTATCGAGCTTCAATTTCAATGGTTGAAAAAGTGGGGGAAAAAATGAGGCGCTTAAACCCTAAATTGTGCTTCAGGCCTTCATTGAAAAGAAGTTGTGGCAAGGGAGACATAATCTTGATGGAATTTTTCAGAGCCTCAAAGGACAATGATATGGAGCTCATCTTCAAATTATTTGTTGTGGGGCTTAAAACTCAGAAAAGAGTTTGAAGTGTACTTACTCATTTGCTATATCATTGCTATTAGTTCGAAACTAAAATCAGTATTAGCAATAGAGTTATTTTTTTTTTTTTTTTTTGAAAGGGCAATAGAGTTAATTTATGAAGGAATAAGGTTTAAATTGGCCACGTAACGTAACTTGAAAATGTAATTAAATCACTGAATGGAAAAAATGTGTAGTTAGACCATTGAACACTCCAAATATATGCAATTTCACCTAATAGTATGTTACCATCAATTTTAACAGGTTACCTGCTTATGTGGCGGCTGAGTTGTCATTTTTAATAAATTTTAATAATAATTTTTTTTAAAAAAACAACCTTTCGTTTTAATTTTTTTATTTATTTATTTTTCATTTTTTTAAATTTATTATTAAAATTTATTAAAAATGTCAACTCAGCTGCCACGTAAGCAGGTAACCTGCTAAAATTGATGGTAACTTGTTATCCAGTGAAATTACATACATTTGGAGTATTCAATGACATAATTACACTTTTTTTTTCGTTCATTGACCTAATTGTATTTTCAAGTTGCGTTCATTGGCCAATTTGAACCTTACTCCATTTAGGAATGGTTCCTTAATTATTGACATCTACCATTTTTTATTCTTTGATTTTTAATTAGACCATAAATAGTCATTTGACTATTGATTTACCTTAGAGTTAATTACCAAAATGGTCCATTGACTATAGCGAAATTACCAATTTGGTCCTTGACTATTTTTTTTAACCAATTAAGTCCCTCAATTTTAAAAATTGTAACCAATTTGATCCTCTGTTAGTTTGACCGTTAGTCAACCGTTAACTTGAAACCAAATTGGTAATTTAGCTATAGTCAATGTACCATTTTGGTAATTAACTTTAGGGGTGGGCAATTCGGTTTAGTTTTCTCGAATCGAACCGTACCGAGCTAGTTTGGTTCGGTAATATACCAAACAACCGAACGGTATTGGATTCTTGCATACCGAACGGTTTGATAAAAACCAATCCGAACCGATCCGAATTGTTCGGTAAAAAATTGAACTGAACCGAATACTGTTTAATTTTTTTTAAAAAAATATAATAATAATAATAATAATAATAATAATAATAATAATAATAATAATAAATAAATAAATAAATAACTAGCATTCAAAAAAAAAATAAATAAATAACTAAAAAGTAAATTCAAGTCCCTTACTGCTTGCTCTACCGTTCAGCTCATATTCTCACGGGTATCTCTCGTAAATGTTTTATTTGATTTCTTTATGGTTTGTTATCAAAAGTTCAAGGGAAAATTATAAAAATGCCCCTCTATAATATGTCAATTATCAATGTCACCCCTGAATTATGAGTGGTGTAAATGTTGCTCCTCAATTATCAAAACGGTGCACATATAGCCCCTCCCGTAACGGACATGTGGTTCCCCGTTAGTGTACGACATCGTTAAGTCAGAGTAAATATGTAATTTAGTTGTTTTTTCCCTCCCTCGATTCGAAGTACCAGCGATGGACAGTGGTGGGGAACCACAGGTCCGTTACGGGAGGGGCTATATGTGCACCATTTTGATAATTGAGGGGCAACATTTACACCACTCATAATTCAGGGGTGACATTGATAATTAGCATATTATAGAGGAGCATTTTTTACAATTTTCCCAAAGTTCTATATTATGTGTTATGGTGTTTACATAGTCCATATCCAAAGTCTAATATATAACAAAATAGCAATCCAAAGCTCAAACGGTATTCGGTTCGGTTCGATTCAGTTTTTACCGAACAATTCAGTTCGGTTCGAGTTTTTACCGAACCATTCAGTATACAAGAATCTATTACCGTTCGGTTGTTCGGTATATTACCGAATCTAACTAGTTTGGTACGGTTCGAGAAAACTGAACCGAATTGCCGACTCTTAAAGTTAATTACCAAAATGGTCCCTTGACTATAGCAAATTACCAATTTGGTCCCAAGTTAACGGTTGACTAACGCTCAAACAAACGGAGGACCAAATTGGTTAAAATTTTTAAAGTTGAAGGACTTAATTGGTCAAAAAAAATTAGTCAAGAATCAAATTGATAATTTCGCGATAGTCAATGGGCCATTTCGGTAATTAACTCTTTACCTTATGTGAATAAAGTAATTTTATAGTGTTTATCTGTTATTTTTATTTTTATTTTTTAAATTTCAACTGGGACAAATTATATTATATGAACATAAGTATATAAAATAATATTTTAGGTTCATAAAAAAAGTCATGTACATAAAAATAATACCGCATGTTCATAAATATGACACTGATTGATTAATTATCACTTTTTTTTTTTTGAAAGTTACTGGCTCTATTACATTGTAGTATCTGTTCATATACTTTCTCAACCTACTGAAACACAAAGAACCAATAACGCCTCCACTGAGGCTTGAACTCATAATCTTCCAATTGGAAGTCCAACCCGGATACCATTAGACCACATAGTCCTGGTAATTATCACTTAAATATATTATTCTATTTTTTTGTATACATAAAATCTATCAATATATATTAAAAAAAAAATATCTCATTAAAAATATATCACCAATATATTTTAAATGATAGTTATATTAATATTTTTTTGAATATATCGTTTTAATCATTTGTGATGAATTTGCAATAATAATTTTATGAATATGTAATTGTGACTTTATGAACCTTTTAGTTACATAATAAACATGTATATACCGTAATAACTTAATGAATTTACAGTAGTGACTTTATGAACTTGCAATGTTAACTTTATAAATTTGCAATAGTGACTTTATAGGTTTGTAGTGGTAACTTTGGCCCTATTTGATAAGCCTATAGGTCAATTTTGACTTATTTGACCACTATTAGTTGTTTGACTTTGTTTAAAATTCAATATAAGTGTTTGGTTAATTAGATTTTTGTACTCCAAAATGCTAAAATTCAAAAAGTTACTTAAAGCAACTTTTTCAATTAACTTTTTTAGAAAAGAAATTATACCAAATAGCTATCAGCTAACAGCTAATTTACCAAACACCTTTCTACAATCAGCTAATGTTATCAACTAGTTATACCCTCTAATTAGCCAAATTAGCTAATAGCTAACAGCTATCAGCTAACAACCCTTTACCAAACAAGGCCTTTATAAATCTACCCTAGCGATTTTATGACAATGCAATAATTAATTTATGTTCATGCAGTTGTAGCATTGTGAACCAATAATAATGTAGTGATTTATGTACCTAAGGACATCTTCAATAAGAGGAAAAAGATGGGGAGAAAGGGAAGAAAGGAGGGGATTAGGATTAGAGGAGAGAAAAGATACATGCTTCGGAGATACCGTTCTCTTCAAGCATGTATGCTCAAGCGAGTGCCCACGTGGATAACATGCACCAATGGAATGGAATGTGCTATCCACGCGCCGTTTTCAGTCACAGGAGGTGAGGAACAAATGTTCCTCACCCTCTGTTTTATATTTTTTAAAAAATAGCAGGTTGCTACTTTGACCTCAGCAGTTATTTGATTGTTGAGGTCAAATTTTTTTTTTTTTTTAGTATTTTTAAATTTTTAGTTTAATTTTTTATAATTTTATAATTATTTTATTATTTTATTTAAATTTATTTTATTAAAATTAAAATTTAAAATTATAATTATAAAGTTGAAATTATTAATCGTAGAAAATTAAATAAAATAATAGATGATGTGGAGGAGTATGGTCCAAAAAAAAGAGAAGAAAAAGAGAGATGATTGGAGAAAAATAGGAGTGGAGATTATATGGTGCTATGGAGGAGATGTGCCCACAAAATGAGAGTTAAAGGAGATAAGGGTTTGTGATACCCTAAAGTAATGAATTTATGTACCTCTAGATTTATTTTTAATTTTTTTTTAAATATTAATATAGGTGTCATTTAAAAATTTCAATTAAAGTTTTTTTAATGATATATTTTATTTGTACAAAAGAGAAAAATAAATTTAAATTGAAAAAAAAAAAACTAAAAAAGAAAAAATAGGGATGTCTTGAGTGTATGAAGTAACATGCATTGTGATACATGATATAACTATTGGTAGGTTTAGCACCCTATTCATAATGAGTTTGTGCGGGTACTATAATATCTTATGGTGCATGCAATTAGTGTGAATAGTAACACCACTTGATGGATATATTGGGAGCATGTCCAGAGCTAATCGACTCAAGGAGGCAGGGCAAGGTGACCAAATCAACTTTCGAGGTTGGCTCTGCAGCCGGTTTCATGGCCCCAAGGCCGAGCTCGACGCTCAACCTCGAACGGCCAAGGCCCGACCTCGAGGCTAGGCGTAGGTGAATCATGTGGACGTGGTCAAAAGGCATTAATTGCCCACCCATTTTTCGAGGATGGTTAGGACAAATTTAGTACATATTTTCTGTCTTTGTTAGGACATTATCCAAAACATTGTAATCACATTACAAGAGTTTTTAATACAAGGCAATTGTCTTCATAAGCTCAATATTTTGTCTTTACTATTTATTCATTTAATTATTAGTTTTAGTTAATTCGGACCACTCGGATTAATTAATTCGATCATTAGTACTTTCATTGAGTCTCGACATACAAGATCGAGCGTGCTACCTACTATTATGGCGAGGTCGTGGTCCAATTCTTGCAACTCTTGCAATTCTCACAACACCCATGTCACCCCGAGCAGAAACGACCTTAATGGGGTTGCAAGTCAGTAAACGCTCTCCATGAGGTCGGCGGGGGACCTACTGGACCAACTCAAGCACAATCACAATCGTGGGTCGGCTCCAATCACCCCACCTCCCGCCTTGGGCCTCTAAGACGGGGTAGTTGTGATCGCTAACCCGCCTCGAGGGGCTCCAAGGAGTGGTGCAACCCCTTTCCCTCGGCGCCAGGGCACCTCATGGGGTTGTGCAAGGGCAACTAACCCTCACCCCGCCCGCTCCGACATCGAACGTAACGCTGAGCACCTAGCTTCCACGAGTGCAAGGAGCTCAAGTCGACGGGGAGGTCAACTCGCCCTGACAATCGGATACACGAGGAAGCAGTGGTGTCAATCGAGACGGGCGAGAGCGTCGAGGAGCATAAAGAGGGCTGCTTGTTAGCAATATATGTAATTAGATGTTGATGTGCCAAAACATATTTAGGATGAAAAATTAAACCCCATATTTGTTTGTAATTTTTTATCATGTCTTGCTCATATTCTATTGGTTAACAATCAAGAAACCAAACACAATTTTGGAGATAAAGTTATGAAAAGTTAGAGTATGAAAAGAAGTCGAGAATTACATACAAAGTAATTGAAGGGAACAGTTAAGGATCGTCAAGGAGATTAATTGAAGCTGCTGAAGTTCTATGCTGTTAGTGTTTAAATGTTATTAAATCCCAACTTGTAATTGGCTGAATTATTATGACAAAATTAGATAGGTTACGTTTTAGTGTCAGTTAGTATATTGAGTGAAGGTCTAATTGAGCAGACACTACAACAGAGCCTTGGAAACTAGCCGTTTAACTTCACCAACCTATGTGAAATTATCTGGCTGAGCAGTTACAGTGTATGAGGTTACTTTACAAGAAAGTCCTTATCTTTGATATACCTCAAAGGATAAGACACTAATCTTCAATGAGCAGTTGAGGTTGAACTGTTAAATTAATTTAAGGAAAGAGCTAAGGTTCAAGAACAAGCGTTATTATGGAAGGAGCTAAGGATCAAGAACAAGCTTTATTATAGAAAAATCTAAGGTTTTCAAACAGCCCAATTTTAAGTAAGGAGGTAGGGTTGCATGGATTAATTAAGCAGCTAAGGATTAAAACAACAATTTGGGATACAATTGAAAATACTCCTACTGCAAATTAAATATTCCTCACGCAACACCAAAGCAAAGAAAAGTCTATAAGAAGTTTATATGGACTGATCAAAAACAAGGAAGGCTACAAGGTCTACCGACAAAGATTGAATTTTGACATTGTCTTTTTCCAACAGACAAATTCTCAAATACTTATATAAGGATGAAGATTTGAAGAAGTTACAAAATATAGAACAAGAAGTGAACACAAGTGCAATACATACAAGTGAAATTTGAAAGCATACAAAACAACAATAAAAAATCTTCATCTATAAAAGAGACTAAATACTCATTGAGAAATCCATCAGAAGTCTTTAAGTTGGAAGAAAGAAAAATCTTGTTTTTCAATAAGTAGTATCAGAGTCGTTATCTAAACGAGTCAACTTCTCTTGACTGCTAGGCATATTCCATTTTGGTGTGTAGTCGGATCATTTCTTCTAAAAATCTCATGTGAAGATGACGAAATTTTAGCCCAAAAATTGCTCTTTTCACTTGAAAATTTTGATGATTGGAAAATTTGTATAAAGGTTCACTTGTCAACTTTAAATGATGAAATGTGGGAACTGATCTCAAATGGACCTCTCAAAATATTGAAGGTTAATACTACATCACTCTTACATTGAATAAAATATAAAAACCTACAGAGAAAGTCTACCATGCTAGTACTAGTGCAGATCATATCCGATATTATAGCGCATTCATACATAATTGTATCAGGTATTATTGATAATAGTTTTTAATTATACCCAATCAGCTAATAACTAATTTACCAAGCATCTTTCTACAATTAGCCAATACTTTACTAATCAAACCCACTAACTCAATCAGCTAATAGCTATTTACCAAACACCACACCCCATAATCTTTTATCTGTATCCACAAGTGACATAAATGAGTAAAATGCACTAGTATGCATATTCAGGTCAAACTGATTCTGCTTCAAACATTTCAGGAATGTGCAAATTTTAAAAAATCCCAAAAAGATTATTGAATCAGAAAGTATGATAAATATGTGTGGATGAAAGACAATACTGGTAGCAATTTAAAAGTTGAATATTGCACATATAAGTGATTGTACATGGGGGGGCCTGTATCGATGCGATCAATGAACAAACCACAGCAAAACCTTCAACAATTTCATTTCAAAACTAAATGTAAGAAGCGAGCAAAATGATATGTGAATTCACACATGTAAAGTGCAGAAAAAAGGTATCTCGAACCTGGCTAGCATGTGTTAACTCCATCTTTGCAATCGTTGGTCAAGTTATAAAATGTCTCTACCCGTATCTTGGACCTGTAAAGAACCTCGGTGTCCACTTCGACCCTCATGTATCCATCAAAATCAACAGGCTGCCCACCGTTCAGTAGTGTTGTTTCGTTGTACCATTCACTAACATTACTCCAGAGATGCTTGTAATCGTCGAGCAAGTGAACTTTGTAGTGAGGTCTCAGTTTATCGAAATAATTGTAAAATGGTTCATTTGTGGCTATATAAAGACGCCTTCCGGGTTTTATCATCCCTTGAATCTTCGCAACAAGGGCATCTGGGGATGTATCAGCATCGAGATGGGGCCATAACTGCTTGTTCTCCGCTTTCTCTCCTCGAACCACGTGAGCAGCATCGAAGTCCCAGTCCATATCCCCACTTATTGCAGAAACTATATTCATTAGTCGTTTGGATTTCCACAAAGCATGCCATGGCCTCTGGATGTACTTTGCTGAGGAGCCTTCGCAGACTCTGTACCAATAGTTTTCAGGCTCGGGAGCATCGAATTGCCTCCAGATAATCGTGCTCTTGTCTTTCCTGAGTTGCATTGGCGTGACTTTATAATCTCTGACCTTTCTTACGGGGATTTTGTTCTTCTTGTGCGTCTTATCCCATCTCCTCCAATCCTTAACGAAATCTCCTTCTTCAACAATCGGTACCGCCTCTTTCAAGTGCTCAAAATCGAAGTAGAACCTGAAGTCTTTCTCCTCCTCGTCCTTGTGGCTCTGAGTATAAGTGGATGCCAAACACATACTCAAATCCATCACGAACGTCCGATTCAGATACTGAGCCTCACCCACCGCACATAAGAAGCTCCAGGTGAAATGATTCATTTCTTTACAATAATCTCCGCCCCGAGAATAGTACAAGTACCTCCCATTCCTAAAAGCCGCATCTGATCCCAATACTGGAATTGTATCATTGATATCCTCGTCCCTAACCGGAGGAGCAATTCTTGCTCTTGGACCAGCTCGAGACCCTCGAGTGCCATTAACAATCCTTGGACGACGGGCATTCCCTCCCGAATGCCATCGCCCCGCATGAATGACTTTATAACTACAGTCACTACCAAATCCAACTCTGAATCTCCTGAAATCTCTATACTTCCTCCAAGACTTCTCTCTCTTGTTCCTAAACCTCCAGGCCACATCACATTCATCCGGCTTCGACCCACTAACAGGAGATTGATAATCCAGAAATGCAATCGACTTAAAAGTCTTCAAATTAAACCTCTCGATTGCAATCAAGACTCTAGGATCCGAGCAATTAACCGAATCTCCGTCCACACAGCCTGATTTTAGGGTTACATTCCGGAGTTCTCCCTCGGATTTATCAATGGAATCCTCTGTGATCGGTACAAAGGAGAAAGCAGGGGATTCAACCGGGGAGCTGAGAGAAATGTCCTCGCCGGTTTTGAGGATGGAAGTGTCGGTCTTAAATGTGGCTTTCTCGACTGCAGTGAAGGCCTTAGCCAGAGCTCTCGACGACTCCCATGGATCGGGGGGTTGGTATGTGATGGCAATTACAGTGAATAAAAGAACAAAGAAAACAAAAACTGAGAAACACACATTGCTTATGAGCTTTATTGTGTTTTGCCCAAATGGGTCTGTTGCTGAACTCGATTGCTTCATTGGTAGAGAACCCTAATCCCAACTACACAATACGAATCGAATCATCCACAAGGGACTTCCCAAATTCATAGAGAGGATGGATTTTGAATCTGAAAACGAACAATAAATTGTAGGAGAAAGTTGGGGATTAGGGGCTAGGGCATACTTACCTCTGAAAGAGCAAGGATCTTGAAGCTTGATTTATCTTCAAACTTCAAGGTTTGTCTTCAAGTTTGAGGAAAAGATTGGATCTTGGAGCTTAAGGTGTAGGAGAGCGTAGAGAATACTGGATTAACTCTAAATTTCAAGGATTTTATTTCAAATATTAAGGAAGAAGTGCAGGATTATGAAGAAAAGATTGGTTTTGAAGTCTGAAGAAGGGAGAGAGAGAGAGAGAGAGAGCTAAAATCAAGTGAAACCAGTTTGAAGAAGAGAGTGGAATACAGTGATATTGGCAGAAATCTAGTACCAGTCTCTGTGGACTGTGGTGCAATATACCTCACTTTACATTAGTTTCGTTTTTAATTCTAAATACATAATTTTTTTTTTATAAGAATTGAACAATTTAATTATTATCCGAATCAAACTTGTGTCTTTGATATGAACAGACGATGGTCTTGTTTCACAATTGGTGGTTAGTGGTTAGTAATTAGCAGATTGGTTAACGGATATCGGTTAACAAATTATATTAGCGGTTCATAGTTAGTGTTTGATAAAATTAGCTTTTTATAATTAGTAGTTAATATGTCAAAAGACACATATGGACATGCATATATTTTATAAAAATAATTTGTTAATTATTAATTATATAATTTTTTTTTAGAAATAATGGTCAAATAAGTCACTGAAATATACACCAAAATGTAATTAGGTCATTGAATTCAAAAAAAAAAAAAAAATACAATTGGATACAATGCAAAATGATACAATTAAATCGAAATGACTTTTTACCTGTTAGTTTACTGACGTAGACGTTATCATACTAAAAATTATTTTTATTTTATTTTAATAATTTTAAATAACAAAATTTAAAAAAATAATAATAATATGATAACCAGTGGAAACTTCCTCTCCCTCGATATAGTTCTCCCAAATCTTGAGTTTCTACCTTTTCGCCAACTACTCAGCAGCAGGAGACCGGATGCCTTTTCGCTTGAAATCGCCAAAGTAGGAAAGAGTGAAGAAGACTGGTCTAAATCTTTCACCGGAGAAATGCTGGTTTAAAGATGATAGATACCCCTAGTTGGGCGCCCAAGCGGGAACAACATCGAGGGTAGTCAGTTTCGACTGCTCAAAGCACTTAGTAGTTCAAGGGAAAGGGCCTTCCCCACTTGCAGCAATGGCATGAGCACCCGGGCGACCAGGATTCATAGTCGGTGTGTCCCCGATTGGGTTCCTAGTTAACTTGGATGGGCGACCGGGCTCTGTAGTCGGTGTGTCCCCTCGTTCCCACCGGGTCCCTAACTACGACCATGCTGGGTAGTTGGAGTGTCCCCAACCGAGTACGCATTCCAGAGACCGTTAATGGTGTATTTCGCAGAGATTCTTTCCTTCCGCAACAAGAAGTTTCCTTTTCTCATTTTAGGCAATTAATATGCCAGATTTGGTAGTTTCTAAAGCATATTTTAGTTATTTTCCATTTTTCTTAGCTTATAGAGGATCTCACTCCATGTATAAATACTCCTACGGGGTCACCTTATAACGGATCCGAAAAGCAATCAATTAATGCTATTTTGCTCCTTTTTTATTTTTTCCAATCAATGGCCGCCTTCTCGTCGGTAAAAAAAGTGACCGACGACCATTAATTATATTAGGTCACCCAAATCGTTTAGGACGAAATTGAAAAAAACAACCATAGTCGAGAATCATTTTGAAAATTAAGTCAAAAGAATTCATTTCTCTATAACTTTGCTTACATGTAATTAGTCCAATTATTCAGTTTTCAATCCAAGGAGACAAAAATTTTCTTTGACATTTTTAGGAGGTTGTTAGCCCTCTTCTTCTTTTCCATTTTATTATTATTTTTGATTTTTGATAGCTAGGTCTTCAACTTTGTCCGACTGTATCCTAAACTCATAAATTCACCACCAAATTCATAAGAAGGCAAATCAAATCAATCTAATTCAAAATTCAACACCAAATTAAATCAAACTCCCCACTATTATAAGCAAATCTTAAGTGAGACTTCTCATTCACTAAATTAACCATATAATTTTCATTTTGTAATAAATTTAACTTGTCAATTCTAATCTTCTTATGCCTTCTTTTGGCTCGAACTGAAACTTATCAATACCACTAAGGTATCATTTAGTTACACCCTTCACCATGGCTTTATCTCATATAGTTTATACCAAACTATAAAAAGCATTGCAAGCCACAATTACTCTTCAATGCCTCTAAATTCTCATTGAAGTCATGCCTTAATGCAAATCAAAACAAGAATTATCAAGAAAACCCTTTAATACATTTTAACAACAAATGCATTATGCCATAGAGTTTGATTGATTACATGTTGCACCACACAAACTCCCCACGATGCACGAGTTTCAGCGAAAAGCATGATCGTAGTCATGAAAGCGAAAAGTTTTGTAAGTGAAGTGAGATAACCACCTCGAAGCCAGAAAGCACAGCACCGCCATGGCAATCAAAGCATTTCTTGTGGCGACCGACATCAAACCCTGTTTAGCTGCAGCGACGATTCCAATCGAAGCGATGGAAATCACCTGCAACGCGACCTCAAGCACGCTCAAACTTTTATACGCTGCACTGCAGCTCGAGCATTTCACCGTATGGCTCCAGTACCTGGCAACACGATTCCCGCCACCATCATTTATACTAGCATTTTGTTTTAGCGACAAGATCACTTGTTTTTAGAAACAATAAACATCAATGGGCAAGACACGAAAGAAGTTATTTTGTACCATTTTAATATTTCAGATCGATAAGATGAGAGTAAAGAAAACGAAGATAGGAAGGATCTCGTTTGGAGCTGTGGGCTTACCGGTCCATCAACTGTTCTCTAGGAGGCGTTTGCGGGAGGGCTCCGCTAAACTTTCCTCTCCAATCAACTTGTCCACCTCCATACTTATTTAACCACCTTCGAAAAGCAACCACATCTGTATCGGCCTTTGTTGGCACATAACAAGATTTATGCCAATTATAAGGCCCGATTTCCTTTAGCTTATGTTCCTAAGAAACGAGGGAGGGGAGTTTCAGAGTTCAGACGATAACACAAAATGCATTTGTCTACACATTTTTACACGAAAAATAATAGCAAAGAAATCAAAAGGCTTACCTCCACATGAAGAAGATATAAATCTGAGTCCAAAATTAGGTTCTGCTCGAAATGAAACATCCAGCGTGGCACTACTTTGTCAATCCAGACAGCAAAGTTTCTTGGTGTGGCAAATATCAATCTGCTGTTACCCGGGCTAACAGGGATGCAATAGAAAACTAAAAAAGCTCGTTTCACTTTTGCATTTGAGGGTTTTTCCTGCATGATTGGATATATAAATATTAAGCGCTAAAAGAAATAAAAACTAGAGAATAAAATCAATAATGAATTAAAGAAATCATTGCATATTGTCATTGTTGAGCATATAACTATCAGCTTAGGCTTTTAGTTGAGATAGAACACATGCTTCAATTGTCATCAGTTACAGTTATCACTCATCACTATAATAAAAGTATATACCTCTGTAGCCTTTGGTGACGAAGTAGATTGGCTGGTTGTACTTGCCCAGGGAGTGTAGTACACACAAGGTGCGGCAAAAATATTACGCCCAAAAACCTGCTTTCCCAAGAATCCATTTACGTCTAGTTGCACGAGACTCATTTCGAGTGGCTTGCCTCCTTCTCGGTCGGCCTTTAAAGTGCAGAAATATGGCTGTCAGCCACGTAAGCTCATATATAGACAACGAAGAGGGTACTACTGCATATGAGTATATGTATAAGTGTCTTATCTTTCTGGGGTTGGTGGAAGTCTCATTATGCCGTGATGTGCATAATGAACATGCGCAGGGTCCATAAGGTTTTCGATCAGAATTTCATACCTGAAAGATATTCCTTTAGCTTCCAATGAAAACTGAAAAAGAATTTAAGGAACTTTTGTAATTTGGTGGCATGAACTGTATCTGCTTACCCATATGGTATATCTCTAGCTATCATTGATTTAGTAAATGAAGGATCATCAAGTTCAGGGACATAAACTGGCTTTTTCTTCATAAATATGTCTTTATACAAAGGGTCTGAGTTTGGCCAAAACCAAAGAATGTCATTTTGGACACAACTTGGGTAAACAGCTACACATGCCCTTTTGGATGTATGAATCTGCACATACATTTTGGCAAAATGTTACTTCAACTCATATCAAGAAACATTAGTATTCTCTAAATGCTTTAAACAACTATAGGCTAGTGGTAGTGCAATTTGAAAGAAAAATGAGTTAATACCCAATTTAGTCTGCGACTACATTGAGTTTTTCTAGATTTAGTCCTAAACGTCTTTTTGTGCTTAATTAGGTCCTTGACTTTGAGTGTTTTACCTAATTAAGTCCTCTATTAATACCCAATTTAGTCCTCGACTTTTGTAGTTTTACCCAAGTTAGTCTTCAACTATAGTAGTTTTATCTAACCCAAGTTAGTCTTCAACTATAGTAGTCTTATCTAATTTCATGATTGAAAAAATCACTAGGCGCTCATCGGGCGCCCGGAGGGAGCCTAGCGCCTAGAGCACCTAGGTGCCAGTGTATTTATTTTATTTTATTTTATTATTAAATTTGTTTAAATTTTTTTAATTTTTTAGAATTTGATAATTATAAAGTATTTAATACTCTACTAGTTAATATTAAAATATTAAAATATTAAATATTAACCTAAAAAATATAAACAATTTAGGGTTGTTTCATTAAGAAGGAATGTGATTTTGAATGAAATAACCTATTTAAAAATAAAAAAAAATAATAAAAAAAAAAACAATAGCTAATCGACCTGCAGCCTAAACGATGCTTAGGAGGCCTAGTCGGCATCAGGCGTCGATGCCTAGCTTAGGCGAAATTTTTGCAACCGTGCCTAATTTAGTGCTCAACTGAAGTTAATTACTTTTCTCGATTTAGTAATTGATTCTAACTGTCAAAGATTTAATTTGAGTAGAGAGGACACTATAGTCAAAAACTAAATTGGATATATATATTTTGATTGTAGGCAAAGGGAAGATTTGTTCACCGGAGGGCCATCTCTGGGGGCTTGAGGGATGAACTTGCAATCACCAGAGCCACTGAAACACCACCCATGATACACACACTGCAACCTGCCCCACTGATCAATCCTCCCATCAGACAAAGGAGCCAGCCGATGAGGGCAAGCATCATCCATAACTTTCCACTCCCCTTCATTCCTATCCCACCACACCACCACATCAATCCCCAGAATCCTCTTTCCGTGCGGCCTCCTCTTGT